GAATATCACTGTTCTCACTCATATAATGGACCTTGAACATCCAATGTAATACTATAAGAAAATGACTGACGGTACTGGGAAACTATGGGGGGGAGGGGGATGGGATTAACAGTAGCAAATATCTGTCGGGGGATGGGAAAACACCTCTTATCAACAGGGTGCCTGAATGAAACGTAATTGTACACCTAACCCTTAACTGTACCCCACAAAACCATAATAAAAAATACTGATTAATAAAAAAAAAAAAAGAAATTGGCTTACATGATTGTGGAGGTGAGTCTAAAAGGTGGGCAGGTTGAAAACTCAGGCATGATTTCTATGTTATAGACTTAAGGTAGAATTCCTTCTTCAGGTAACCTCAGTGCTTGCTCTCATGTCCTTCAACTGATTGGATGAGGCCCACCCACATTCATGAGGGTAATCTCCTTGACTTGAAGTCAACTCATTGTAATGTTAATCATATTTACAACATATTGTCACAGCGACACCTAGACTAGTAATTGACCAAATATCTAGGCAACATAACTTCGCCAAGTTGGCACATCAAACTTGACATTCCAGGTACCAACTAATGCAGGGGAATTAGAACAGTCATAGGTTTTAGAGTAGCAGGAAACATTTATTTGGTCAACAACCAATTTAGGATGTCCAGTTTAGAGCTGGTGAATCAGAGTTAATTTCTGGCCACAACTGGTATTCAGGACAGGGGTACCCTATGTGGGGAGGGAAGCTTGGCAGCAGGCATTCCCCAGTGGTAGAAATACTTGGTTTCCTCTGTGAATCAAGAAATAAATCAGGGCCAGAGCTTGGCCCTATGGTTATCGCAGGCCATAGCAGGGCAGTTTGGAGAAAAGCTGCATGTCTCCATTTCTTTTGGATGCCCTCTCCCCTAGGGCTTAGTGTGGGGGAGGGGAGCTCATGAAATAATGCTGGCTCAAGAATGCTAGACTGCCTGGGTCAGGCGTATCCAATCCACAGCCCATAGGTCACATGCGGCCCACAACAACTAGTAATGTGTCCCCCCAAAATCTTTTAACATCATGTGTTTTTTAACATTTATTTTCTTTGTGACTCCATGCATAGTACCATTTTTGAAATTCACAATCACGCCTTATGACATTGCTTTTTGGCAGCATATACATTTGTGAGCAGCTGTTTTCAATTATGGAACACATAAAGAGCAAAATTCCGACAAACATTTCTGACAAGCACCTTGAAAATTCACGAATAATTGCAACTACTTCCATTGAACCAGACATCATTAGATTCGTTTTACAAAAACAAGGTCAAATTCCCATTAGTTTGATATTGTTTCATTTTTCTAAACTTTATAATAAAAATTTGTAAAAGTCTTATATTATATATACACACTAACTATATTATATAATTTATGTGTGGCCCAAGATGATTTCTCTTTACTCGATGTGGCCCAGGGAAGCCAAAAGATTGGACACCATTGAGCTAGGGAGTCCTGACCAATACAGAGGTGACAAGAACACTGCCCTGAAGCCAGGAGGCCTAGATTCCAGACCCAGCCCCATATTCACTCCAAGCATGATTTCAGTTTCTTTACCTGTAAATTGGGATTTATAATTCTTTCCTCAAAGGACAGTCCAGAGGAAGGGTGCACAAAAGTGCCTCAGAGGACAAGTTATTCAAAGATCACACCCAAGAGGGTGGCAGATTGGTGTCATGGAAAGAGCATAGGCTTGAATCAGATTCCTGAGTTTGAACCCTGCTCCTCCCTTACTAGCAGGTGACCTTACCCATGTTTTTAAATTGATTGCAACTCAGTTTCCTCATTTCTAAAATAAGAACAAGACAGCTATGTTAGTTTCCCAGGACTGCCACATCAAAGCACTACAACTGGTGGCTTAAAACAACAGAAATGTATCAACTTGCTTTTCTTCTAGAGGCTGGAAGACTAAAATCAAGGTGTTAGTAGGACCAGGCTCTCTCTGCAGGCTCTAGGGGAGGAGTCTTTCTTGTCTCTTCTAGCTTCTGGTGGTGACTGGCAATCCTTTGTGATCATTGACTTGTAAATGCATCACTCTGATCTCTGCCTTTGAATTCACATGACAATCTCCCCTATGTGTTTGTGATCAAATTTCCCTCCTTTTATAAAGATACCAGTCCTTGGATTAGGGCCCACCCTAATCTAGTATGACTTCATCTTTACTTGACTACATCTCCAAAGACCCTATTTCCAAATGAGGTCGTGTACAGAGGTCCTGGGGTTAGAACTTCAACATATATTTTGACAGGGAGACATAATTCTGCCCATGATGACAACCACCACATCATGGGGGTTGGGAGCCCAGGATGGGGCTATAGATGTAGACAACCTTCTTTTCCCTAAGGCTGGAATCTGGGGCTTGGGAAGGGGTCAATTCTTCAGTAGCTATGTGGGGTGACCTCTTGGTCCCTTTCCTGTTGGGCAGGCTCATGGTGCAGGTTCTACACTGGGGCACACCATGGCAGCTGAACCCTGGGCACTGAAAGTGACCGGTCTATTGGGAAGATCCATATGACGTTGTGCACTTAGAACCAGTTTGAGTGAGAGAGGAGAGAAAGGCTCTTCTAGTCCGGTAAGGTAAACTAGGTAAAGTCAGCTGTTTGCCGGGAATGTAATGATTATCCAGTTGGCAGATGAGACCCCAACAGGGCGACTCTTCCTCTGTTCCTCCCACCACCAGCCAGTATACTTGGGGATCATGTCCATACTCTGCTGCTTGTTGGTGTGTTCTCACAAACTCATTTTGACCCTAGCCAGAGGAATCTCTTTTTTTTGAGGAAGGCAGGATGCTGAAGAGGGGGCAGGCCAGGTGTAAATGAGATGATCTGCTCTTTCTTCACTAGTACAGACAATCAAGAGAGGGGAAGTCTCCCTTCCCTCACCAGATGCAATGCTCAGAGTAAACACAGGTAGACTTGGGGGTCAGTAGCATCCTTGAGAATGCTGGGGTGACTTATCTGGACCATAGTCTCTGACCCTAGAATGAAGCAAAGTGACCGACAGGGCCAATCGCCAACATACTATGTGTCAAGTGTTGAATGATCATTCTTGGCCATCACTATTCAGTGAGGCAGATGCAATTTTTACTGGAAAGCCCACAAGCATGACTTTTCAATCCCTCCTGTTTGCAAGTTTGTGCAGCTGACAGGAGAAAAAAATAGCCCAGCACATTTGCATTTAAGACTTGAAATCTAAATATTTCCGTGAGTCATTCATTATTACCATATAACTCAGTGTTTGCATGCAAATAACTTTAATGACATAAATGCTTATAAAATAAGTCTCTTACCATATGAACGCGGTAAAGAATGCTAATTCCCAGAGTCATGAATGGCTTAGAGAAATCAATCACCTTCTCCCGTTCAGCTGTGATGGTGAGACCTGCTACAGCCAGATCTGCTTTCTGAAAGGAAAAGAAGGAGCCTGTCAGTGGGGCGGCCTTGGGAGATGGGGCACAGGAACTTGTGGCCAGACGCTGTCACTATTGAGATGTTAGTGTGGCCTGTCTCCTCGGCTCAGGGAGTGATTCTAAGGAGACACAGCACATCCCGGACCTGAAAGATCATTCTCAAAAGGGCATGGATATTGATGCTGTAACTCATGTTCACTTGTGGTTAGATTGCTTCAAATACATAAATAATTTTTAAAACAGGCAGGATCACTACAGGCTATTCGGAGATAGTCTCAAAGTGTCCTAGGAGAGGGGATACTTTGGGAGGGGAAAACTGGCAGCTCTTGTGTTCTCAATATCCAGTAGTATTAATTCAACTTATTAATTTATTCAGTCAGCGAAAGTCCACTGAGTGTCCATGGTGTGCAAAACACTTTGGTGGTGGAAGGGGTTTGGATGAAAGGGAGATAGGCTAGAATCACAGAAATCAGAAACTTCTGAGGCAACTTCATTTATCCCACAGTGAGGAAGTAGAGAGCAAGAAAGTGAGCAAGGGGCCCCATGTCACAAAGCTCATCCCTGCCCAGGGCTGGGCTGGAATTCAGGTCTCCTGGGTCACTGGCCACTGATGTGCTATCCAGGTTCAAACTCAGAACCATGAGAAGGGCCTGCTCCCTCTAATGAAAAACAACAGACACTTGTTCTGAAGAGGCTTCTTTCCTTTTTCTTTGCCTCCAAAATGCAACTCCCGGGACCATGTCTGATGAGGATCTGAACTGAAGTAAGGCCTTCTGGGAAAGGAGATGTTATAGGCTTCATCAGTGCTCCTCTCTGTCAGGAATTTCCTCCTTGTATCTAATTTCAATCCATCCTGTTGAAAGCAAGTTTGCTTCCTGTGGGTCTGCTCTCCTATACATGGGGCAGTGGGAAAAGCCCAGAGGTGGCGCTCAGTTCTAACCCATGCTCTGCCCTTACTAACTGACTAACCAACCTAGGCTAGTCCCTTCACTCCTGTAGCCCTCCTCAGCCTCCTCCATAAGGCAAGGATGCAGAGTTAAGGGAGCCAGGGTCCACCCCAGCGGTTCTCTAGTGGTGGTTCTCAAAATATAGTCTACAGGGCCACCTGCATCACAACCACCTGCTGGGCCAGTTAAAATATGAATTCCTGAGGCTCATCCCAGACCCCCCTGGATCAGATGTTTGGTGATAGGACTCAGGAATCTGTATTTGTAATAAGTTGCACAGGTGATTCTTACCTATACTGCACTAATAGTTAAGAGCTGTGCTTTATAACCTAGGCATTGTTTCTCAAACTGGCCTCCAATGGTGTACATTTCAACTTCTTTAACTCCTTTTTCTAATGCTGTAGATTAGTTGATGCCAAAAAAAAATGAAATAAGAAATAAGGAAAAGTGAAGTGTCATCCAACAATCTACACACACACACACACACACACACACACACACACACACACACACACACACACACTTAATTCTGCCTAAACCATTGGAAAGAAAGTAGCGAGACAGATGCACTGGCCCTCATTTTACACACAAGGGAATTATGATTTATGTTCAGGAAGGATAAATTCATTGGCAAAGTTTCATTTCTTTTACATCTCAACCAAATTTTCCATTCTCAATCCAGGTTCCTTCCCATAAAATAGTCACATGATCCAACACAAGAGAACCAACTTGGGGCCTTATAAAGTGAGGCCATCCTGAAAAGAAACTAAGGTGCAGACGGAAGAGATTTTTAATAAAAAACAGAAAATGCGATGACTCAGTCTGTATTTTTCCAGGAGAGTGTTGATTACTGCTATCAAGTGAATCAGCCCTTGGGTTAGACTGTGAGGTTTGGTTAGAAGGAATGTTAGCTCCTTCACTTGGGGGACTCTTTAGAGGGCTGCCTGGACCTAGCACAGTCTCGGCCCCTCCACGACAGTGACACTGACTTGAAGTCTGCTTGCAAGCACAGCTGAAAGCAATAGAAATCAACCAAATTGGTAGCAGAGCCCTGCCTGAAACTCAGGGGAAGGAAACAAAAGTAAATGGGTCAGAATGAAGGAACCGAAGTAATGATTAAAAAAATAAAACTGGTAAAATAGGCAAGAGATAAACACAGCATCCCGTCTTGTATCTGGTCATCAAAAAAAATGCAAATCAATTAACCACAATTAACCACAGAAAATAACTCTGTTCTCAGGTTTCCTTTCCCCACACCCAGCTTTCCTCCCAAGGGCAAACTTAAATTAAAATTTGGAAATCATTTCACAAGTTGATAAAAGTTGACCAACAATGACATTGTGCCAAAATAATTCCATGTGTCCATATGGAGAGACATCTGGAAATGGACAGCACCCCTTCTCCAGGGCTCTTCACTTGACATATGTAGAATGGCCACATGCCCAGAGAGAGTGCTTGCCCCAAACTCGGACAGGGCGTTTCTGTCTACTCACTAATCTACACTTCCCCAACCTGAGCCAAACGGAAAAGCTGCTTTGTGCCCACATGCTAGCACATGCCCTCCAGCCCCAATCCCTCTTTCCTTTGTCCCCAGTCAAGAGGAAGTTGGCAGCAGGGGAGTCAGAAAAGAGAGAGAAAAGGGCAGTGACAAGCTGAAAGAAGTCATGGAGTTTTATGGTGGTTGTTTTTTGCATTTAGTTGACTCAGGATAGAAGAGTGATTATTGCTTTGGCTTCAATGCAGCGGGGTATTGGCAACAATCACATGGGATCAGATTATACCAAAAGACGTGCATTCATTTGACTTTATCTCAGTTAAAAAGACATGATGCTCTGAAGCCATGAGACCAAACTAATAAGAAATGGGGCTGGAGCTGCAACAGTGCCAAGAACCACTGGTGTGGAAGGCTGAGGGACCACGGGCACGTGCCAGTTCAGCCAAACCCTCTGCTCCTCTGGCCACTCTGGGGGCAGGTGGGGGGCATGTTCTCCAGTGGAAAGAGCAGAGGAAGGGTCACCAGAAGACCAGGATCTTGGTATCCAGCTCCTGCTCTCACAGCCATTGACATACGTCAAGCTCCGTTAATACAGCACCGGGGCAAGTGAGAGCCAGACGGGCACTGGGCAACTCTGTACCTCGCAGAGGAAAAACAAAGAAACCCAGGCAGAGGAGAGCCCAAGAAGCCAAGAGGCAAAATGCCATCATAGGCATTCTGTGTGCAAACTCACTGGGAGGAGCCCAGGAAGAAACACCCAGATGCTTCAGTCAGCTTCTCTGAGTTTTCTCAGAAGTGTTCACAGAGGTGAGAGGCGTCGTCTGCTAAAGAGAAAGGAGAATTTGAAGACATGGCAAAGGCAGACATGGCTTGCTATAAAAGAGAAATGAAAATCTGTATCTTTCCTAAAGGGAAAACAAAAAGGAAGTTCAAGGATCCTAATGCGCCCAAGAGGCCTCCTTCGGGCTTTTTCTTGTTCTGTTCTATTGCTCCAAAATCAAAGGAGACTATCTCGGCCTATCCATTGGTGATGCTGCAAAGAGACTGGGAGTGATGTGGAATACTGCCATTGCAGAGACAAGCAGCTGTGTAAGAAGACAGCAAAGCTGAAGGAAAAATGCAAAAAGGACACTGCTGCAAACTGAGCTTGGAAAGCCTGAAGCAGCAAAAGCAAAACAAAACAAAAAACAAACAACAACAACAAAAAAAGAAGGATGAGGTGGAAGACAGGATGATGAAGAGGAGGAAGATGAAGATAAATAAATGATATATATAAATGCAAGTATATAAAACATTTAATCATCCCTGCACACAGCTCATCTTTCCAGAGAAGAATATTGAAATGTAAGGCTGTGGAAGATTTGTTTTTTAACTGTACTGTGTCTTAATTTTTGTGTGTGTACGGTTAACACATTCCCAAATATGTCTTTAGACAGCTACTCTCCTTGCCTGGGACAGCATGGGGGTTGGCAATTGGCATGGAAATTTAAAGCAGGTTCTTATGGGTGCACAGCAAAAACTAGTTCTAAAGGGGACAGCAAGTTTTCATCTTCAGTTGTCTTTGAAGAAGTTTATTCTTATTTTATTTATTTATTTTCCTTTTTAAAACAATTTTAAAGATGTGGGGTACAATTCAGGGTTAGGTATACAAACGTTCCTTATGCAGGTGCCTTTGTTGATGAGGTACGCTCCTCCCTCCCCTGGCATTTTCCCTCAACTGCCAATCCCACCTCCGCTCCCTGGCAGTTTCCCACTACTGTCAATCCCTTTCTCATAGTATTATGATAGTTTTTCAAGGTCTGCTTATGAGTGAGAACATATGGTACTCTGTTCTTTGTTTCTGTGATAGATCACTGAGTATGATAGACTCTAAATCCATCTGATGAAGTTTATACAAAATAATTGTTCTGTTGACTGAGTACCACTCTGTAATTGCAAAAAAAAAAAAAAAAGTTGTGGCTGTTTTGTTGACATTCTGAATGCTTCTAAGTAAACACAATTCATATATATATGAAAGACCTGGCTCTTGTCACAGCTGGGGCCCATCTGCATCATGACTTTAGGCAAGTTATTCCGCTCTCTGGAAGAGTTTCCTCAACTGTAAAATGAAAAGGTTCAACTGATGCGCTCCAAGCTCCTTTCTGGCTCTAAAATCTCATCCATTAATTTGCCTGGTAGAAGAGATAGGACTTGGCTAAGTGGCCCTGGCTTTGCTTAAGATGACGGTAGTCAGCAATCCTGAGTGCTCTGAGGGGAAACTGTTTACCAGACTAGTCAGCAAAGAGCAGCATCTGGCAGAGACCCAAGGCAGGGACGTTTTCTTTTAGGGAAAGAAATCCAGAAAGGTCAGGAAGGAGCAATACCAACTGGAAAAGCATGTCTGAACTTGTAACTCAGGGCCTGGAAAGCAGAAAAGGTCGGGACCCCCAGAGCCAGAGGGTTGGTCTGCTAGAAGAAAAGAACCAGTGAAAGGGAGTGGAGAGAGTTCCACATGCATTACATGCTCCTGGCACGGCACCGGTCGGATGTGCGCTGCACAGGGATATATAAAT